CCGTCTTTCCAGCAACCCACTGGGTCTGACTCTTTTGGACTTAATCAGCCCTCCATGACAGATGTCAGACACCCGAGCCCCTTGGCAGCCCCTACCCCCAGTGCTGGGCTAGGGCTTTTCCTGGGGCTGAGGGAAGGGAGGTGACTCAGAGCAGCCACATCTTCACTGTGGAAGGATCTTTGCTCAGCTGGGTGGTGAAGGTGGAGGATAAAAGAGAGTGAGCAGTACACCTCACCTCAGCAGCTCCCTGTGGTGGTGACGGCTCTCGTCTCTTTTGTCACACACAGCTCTTCAGTCTCCTGAGGAGCAGGATTGACATAGGGGAACCTGGTGCAACCTCATGCACCCTGGGGGTACTGCTTTGTAGTGGTCCTTCATGTTATACAGCCCATGGGATCGCATGAGAGAGGAAGAGAGGAGAAAAGATGGGGGAGAATTTGTGACGGTTGGCAGGAGGTGTTTTTTTCCTCCTGCTCGAGAAAAACAGTTTGTGGTGCCCAGTCCAAGCAGAAAAGCATCAGCCGCTCTTTCCCCTGCATCAGCAGTGCGAGAATGGTGTGAGTGTGTGGGTGAAGGTGAGAGAGAGAGAAGGGAGAGGGAGCCGTGGTGGGGAGACATGTATGGCTCCACAGCCCAGCACTGCCTGCTACCCCTCCCCTGGCTTCACCCCGGGGGGACGCACTGAGCTCACTGCTCTCCCTCTCCATCCTGCACTCTCAGCCTACTCCCATCTCATCCCCAGAACCACTCTTAACAGAGTCTGTGCTCTAGGAAATGCTTCTTTCATGTAAGAGAGAGGGACATGTTCCCACCGTGCTGCTGCTTCCCGAGAGGCTGTTGCAAGGGGCTGATGGAGACCCCAGGAAAAAGTCAGGAGCTGTTTAGTGCTGGGGGGTGTTTGGGGCCAAAGGGTTATTATGCTGAGGGAGCGTGTTGTGAAATGAAGGTTTAGGAGGCACTGTTTTACTCAGCGCCAGGCTATCTTTAGCAAAAAGACACCTATGACGTTTCTCTCTAACGACCCATTTTAAATGCTGACTCCCCTGAATGGCATTTTCGTCATCTCCCAGAACAGGACCCCACCGCAGAAATAACAGTGACCGGAGCAAGATCAGCACCGGGGCATCTTCTCAGAACCGCCTGTGTGAGTCCATCCCCTGGGTAGACGGGCTGATGGGGACGTGTGGGACTTTGGCAGAGCCATGGGGAATGAGGGGCAGGCTACGACAGGAGTAGCCCAAGACAGGGATACAGGATCCCAGCTCACTAAATACTCCTTTGTCCATGTTAGGCATTAGCCAGCTTCAGCCAGGTTCCAGGCTTACCCGCAGCAGCCCCCTTGTGCACAACCTTCATACATTGCTTTTCTTGTCTCTCTGGGCATGTCTTATGGGTGCAAAGTACACTCACCAAGAAAAATAGGAATAAAAAACACTGTTCTGCAGTATCATTGAGTTAGTCTTGCTGAAGGAATTTTCCGTTGTGTCTCCAGATTTCTGTGATACCATGTTTTTCTCTGAGTGATTCCACTTTCATGTTTTGGTCCTTGCAGCATTGAGTATGAAGCTAGTCATAACCTTCTGCTTCGTGCTAACATTCTGAGGTGCTCTATAATTTATTTGCAGACTTTAACTGACCTAAGAAATGTGACTTAAAGACCAGGTTATCGGCTGTGCAACTTGAGATCAGCTGGTCTGAGTGTTCCTGAGTTAAAGTACTCACCCAAAGGACCTCATGTAAAACATCCTGATTGCTGTTTGCCCAGAGCTAAAGCAAACATAACAAGCAAAATGGTTACTTACTAATAAGAGATAACTAATAACTTCGTGGCGAGAGACTGTAAACAGAAGGCAGCCATGCCTGGGGAGAGGGCAGGGAAGGTCTGGCACGGAATGTAGTGTGAGCAAATGCTGCTGGGCAGGTTGGTACTCAACGGGCGCCAGGGCAGGCAACAGGGCTTGCAGGAGTCAGACTAGGATTACCTGTGAGACTTCTGGGACTGACTGGGAAGCTCAGGGAGATAAAAGAGATCTATGTTCAGGTCCAGGCGGGGAAGTAGCAGAGCTGCCCTTCTTCTCTGTGTGCTCAGGACAGACACTGTGGTTCCTGAGACAACGCCGTGTGGCTGTGGAGGGGCCAAGCAGCAGCATCCTGAACCAGAAAGAGCTGGTGCTCACAGCTTGGCAGGCTTTGTGTGAGATACACAATGGGGAAATGTGTCAAAATGAGCACCCTTGAGATGGAGGGATTCAAACCAATCTTTCTTCACAAAGGACTGTGATAATTTCTACCAAGGCACCAACCTGAGATCCATCCTGTGTATGAAATTGCTCGGCTTCTCTGAGTCCAAGATGGGTACCAAACATGCAGTTGTTCCAGGGTTCTGTTCCTCTGTGATGCCTGGAAGCAGCTTGTTATCATCCCAGGGCCAGGGTGCCCCATGCATCAGAGAGTGGCCTTGGAGGAGGGACCCATTTATCTGAGGTGACAGATCCCAAAACAGCGAAGACGACCAGAAAAGGAAAGCTCGCATCTCCCAGTAGTTCTGGGCAAAACCAAGATGTGTCTCTGCAGAAGTGCTAGGAGAAGAAAGAGTGGCTGGCTGCCCAACATTTGCTGGGAGGTTCTTTACTTTTGAAAAGGTCCTTTTTAGAGCATTTGCTGAATGGGCAGGGCCTGGGTCACCACAGCTCTCTGATGTGGAGCTGAGGAGAGTCTAGCTGTGGTCTTCTTCCTAGAACCCCATGAAAACACTTTTAGGAAAGCATAGCTTTGTGGAGTCATTGAACAAATCTGCAGCCTCTTTACAGTGTTAAAAGGCAAGTGACCTTTGTATGACAATGCTCAGCAGATAGCTGAATATCCCAGAGAAACCTGAATTAGAAAGTCAGGAACAACACTGGGGAGTGCTGACTGAAGCAGTGGGCTGCATTTCTGCTAAAAAAAACCCCAGTGATTTAATCACTGAAGAGTGTCTGCAGCATTCATGGGCATATTTGGCAGCTAGCATCTTGTATCTGGCCAGCATTCACTGTGGAGAAGTGTGTAGCTGTTCTCTTTCAAAAGGACTCCAGATCCTTCCTGGGGAAGAGATGGAATGCTGCAGGATCCTCTTTGGACATCTCCACAACTACCTGTGGAGATGGTGATGGACGTTGGTACCCTGGCCAATATCTAGTTAAGAGATGTCTTTGATGCTGCAGGATGTCTTTGATGCCACAGCCTGTGTGTTTTGGAACACAGAGGGTGAGGTGGATCAACTACAAAAAATACATGCAGCAAGCTAGGTTACATTTTGACTAACTTCTCATTGCAGCACTCATGCCATGCTTTTAATCCAATGGAAAAATACATGATAGCTTCCCAAACATCCCAGGGCTGCAGTAGGTTTTCTCAAAAGCAAAGAGGTACCTGGGAGCCCAATGCATGCAAGGGATGAGAGGAGCATGCCAGCTGTAAGGAGAAAGCTCTCAGTCACAGTGACCTGACATGGAAGGGAAGGAGTCGGGCGCTGACTCAATGTGCCCCATGTCACTGAGTGACTAGGACAGAAGCAGAATGGTCCTAAAAGATTCTCTTGACTCAGGTTTGGGCTGAAAGGAGCTGAGGAGCACTCTGATAGGAGCTCAACCTTAGCCTGAGAGTGAGACTCCCAAAACGTTGTCTGTTCTCCCAGGGGTGGCTCAAGAGAGAGGGTCTGACCATCTGCAGGGTCTCTGGGCCCTGGAGGGCTGGAAGCTCCAGTGCCAACAGCATTGCTGGATGTCAGGAAACTGCTGGACATCAGGGGTAGTCCAGAAAGTGGGTGACCACTGGCAGAAATGGCCAGCAAACCTGAAAGAGCCATCAGCACTAAGGCTGGTGGTAAGAGTGGTGTCAGGAGAGGCTGGGAGGATGATGCTGGACACGTAGTGAAACCAGAGCACCCAGACTTCCCCAAAAGATTACACGCAAACCCCTTGTTAGATGTGGCTTCTTCAGTTTGCCA